GTCCCCGGGCCGGCCCCGGACCCCTCGGGGAAGGGGCGCGCACGGAGCAGCGGCACCGGCTGAGCCTCCCCCCGACGGCACCCCCGGGCATCGCCCTCACCCCGTGGCCGGGACGGGGCTTCCCTCTAGCGACCGGCGGCGGGAGAGCATCGGGGGGGACGCGGAACCCGGCCCCCCCCCGATCCGGGTCGGGCTGAGCTCAGGCTTTCATTTGGGAAGCTCTTCCCTGTGAGGGTGCTGAGGCGCTGGCACAGGGTGCCCAGAGAAGCTGTGGCTGCCCCATCCCTGGCAGTGCTCAAGGCCAGGTTGGACACAGGGGCTCGGAGCAAGCTGCTCCAGTGGAAGGGGTTGGAGCTGGAGGAGCTTTAAGGGCCCCTCAACACAAACCAGGGGGGGTTCTGTGATTTCTGCCTGAAGGTCAAGTCCATCCGCGGCTCTGGCTGCGATCCCACAGGGCTGAGCTGCCCTGGAGGCACCGAGCCTTGTCCTGGGCCCCTGGAAGGTTCAGTCTTCAGGAGGGTGCAGTGGGGCCGCAGGGAGGGAGACGACTGGGGCAGCCCCACACAGGCGCCTTCCTGGGATCCCCTGTGCTGGCAGCATGGGGGGGGATCTGTTTCTCCACCCGACAATGGGGTGGTCCCATAGGGAGCTGCCTGCGCACGGCGAGCTCTCACGAGGAGTGAAGCTGCTGACTCTTCCCTTGCTCCAGCTCACACACGTCTTTAATGAGACCCATCAGATTCACGGAGCAGGCTGGAGGCTGCCAGAGCAATGCTGGGCCACGTCCCTGGGCCCCTGGGCCACCGGCAGGGTTGTGGAGACAGCCCCAGATCCCAGCAGTGCTGGGGGGGCAGCAGGGGAAGGCAGGAGCATGGAGAGCAGCCACCAGCAGGCAGGGAAGGGTCTGGGAGCTTTCCCATCTCAGGGTCCCATCCTTTCTGCGTGGGCACAGCAAAGTCTCCTCCTGCAGTCACAGGCTCCGGCAAAGGGATGTGCTGCAGTGGCTCGGGCCAGTGAGGAAAAGAGGAGCAAGCTGTGGCTTGGGATGGAGACTCCAATGCCGAAGGTGACCGGAGAGGGAGCAGAGCCTGTGCTAGAAGGACTGTCCATAGGTGTCGGAGCAGTACTGCAGGTAGTCAAACTCCTCGATGGGGAATGTCACAGCGCTCCATTTCTTGTACCTGCTCTTCTCAGCTGGTGTCTCTACCACGAAGTTCTTGATGCTGAGGATGGGCAGCTTCACCTGCCGGTAGAGCATCTCCATTCCCCAGTCCTGTGTGGGCAGGGAGAGGACCGTCACACAGCCGGCAGTGGGGTACATCCCCTTTGGGGACAAGAGCCCATGTCTGCATCCCACGTGTGCAGCACACGCATCACACAGGAAGGTGCAGAAGGGACCCACAGCTCCATTCCTCAGCCAGGAGCTGGGGCACAAGCCTGGCCCCTGCTGCCCCACCAGCTCCCATGGCACTGCAGCACTCACCTGGCTGCACCCACTACACGCGATGCGGCAGCCCAGCTCCCAGTCTTTGAAAGCCCTCTGGGACTGGATTTTCCCTGAGGAAACTCGGTAGTGCAACCTGCAAGGAAAGGACCGAAGGACACCCTCAGGACCATGGGCCAGGGCACAGAAACAGGCAGCCACATGCGCTCTGAACCCCGCCTGGACCGGTGTCCCCAAGACGGAGCTGGCAGCAGGGTCCTGCCCATCGTGGATGGGGGAAGCAGCAGCTTGTCCCTACCAGCACCCAGCTCCTACCCAAAGCTGGGGTTGGCGTTGACGTGGTGTATGCCCTCCACGGTGCGGATGTCGCTGCCGCGGCACACCGCCACGCCGCAGTTGATGCAGTGAAGGTGAACGGTATCCGGGCCGTGCTGCTGCTGCCTTTCGCTGATCCTGGCCTCCTTCATCAGCCAGCTGGCAACGGCAGCCTGCTGCAGCTCCCTGATCTGGACAGGGGAGGGTCAGCGCAGGGCTATGGGCACGGGCAGCAAGAGACACGGCTGCAGGCAGACGCAGTGGCCCGGAGAGCACGAGGAGCAGGGCAGGCACTGCTCCATGCACCTCGCCCTACCACATCCCAAGGGAAGCGCAGGCCACCAAAACCAGAGCACAGGAAGCTGTGCCCAAGCGGCAGACACAGGCAGGAGCTGCCTGTCCCTCCTGGTGCCCAGGGCAGCACCCAGCACGCACCTTGAGGCGGTATTCCTGCTCTGGCATGGCTTGCACTGCTCTGATCGCCCTCTCCATCAGCTCCATGAGCTCCTCGTTGAGCAGCTCGCCGGAGACCTCTTTGCTGTTGGCTTTGGCCAAGACAAAGTAGACGCTGTTCTCAGCACGGGCACGGCCCCGAGCCTGCAGTAGAAGGGCAAGATGCGGTGAGGGACATGGCTGGACCTCCCCTTACCCCCCCCATGTCCTCCCATAGGGACAGGTAGAGCATCTGGAGGGAGCCCACGCGGGGACCTGCATCATGGTGATCCCATTGGTCATCAGCCCATAGCGGACCACGATGTTGCACTCGGGGATATCCAGGCCCTCCTCGGCCACGCTGGTGGAGAAGAGCAGGTTGAGGGTTCCGTTGCGGAACAGCTTGATCACATCCTGCTGCTCATGCTGGGGGGGGCGGGAGAGCGTGGCGATGCTTCAGCAGCTGCGCAGGGGCTCCGAGCCCCAGCAGCACCCGCAGCGTGCAGAGGGGTCGCTCCCATCCTTCCCCCCCCCCCCACCTCTGCTCACCTGCATCATGGGCCTGCTCTGGCTGCTGCAACCGGCGCCGGTGAGGCCGTGTCCTGCAGCCAGCCGAGCAGGCTGTGCGCGCCCTGACGGGTCCTGGTGAACACGATGCCGCGAGAAGCACCCAGCGGCTGGAAGTGCCCCCGCAGGATCGCCTCCAGCTTGTCCAGCCTGGGGTTCTGATAGCGCCGGTCCCCAGCAAGCACCTGCAGGGTTGCCCTGTTCTCTGTTCAGGTGAGCAAGGCATCAGGGGGGCTCCCCAACCCCAAATGCAGCATCCAACCCCCTCCAAACCCCTCCGTCACCCTCAAACGTGGCACTGAGGAACCGCTCGGTGGGGTCCTTCACGTCCTGGGTGTCATAGAACTGCTGGAGGCACTGGAAGGCGTCGAGCATCCGCACCGTGTCCTTGATCAGCAAGGCATCGTTGTACTCGCGCAGATGCAGCGCGCACACCCGCGTCCGGCGGCAAAGCCCACCGGCCCTGCTCCACCTCACCCGCACCACCTCACCTCTGTTCTCCAGCTCCAGGATGCGCTGCTCGTAAAGCTGCGTGCCAAAGTCCTGCGGCAGGCTGGGAATGCCCATGTACTGCTGGATCCGCTCCATCACCTCCTTCAGCCGCTCGCCAAAGGGGTCCTGAAAGCAGAGAGGGGCTCAGGACCAGAGGAACTGGGGATGGTGCTCCTCGGGACAGCCTCGGAGCACAGCCCGGGGTTAGGAGCTGATTGCATGGCACCCTTACACCAAAGCTCTGGGTCAGCCGGTTCCTCAGCATGGCCTGAGCTAAGCGGGTGGAAGGACATGGTCCCGGTGCTCAGCACCCCTCACCTGCGCTCTCTCCTGGCACAGGTCGTACTGCTTCCTGGGCTGCAGGACGCAGCTCTGCACTTGCTGTGCCTCCTCCTGCACCGAAGCGATTGTCTCCGTGTCCAGGTTGGCGCAGAGCTGAGGGAGTGAGACCCTGCTTCCAGCCCTGAGCCCACAGCAATGCAGCACCCCGGCGGCCTTGGGGATGCCCTCCCCAGGGTCTGCACACCAAGTTATCAACAGCCACCCCAAGGAGCACCCGCTGCACCCCACCTTGACGCAGGACCTATCTGCAGGATGTGCTGCACAGCCCCCTCAAAGGAGGGTGCCCCCCCCAGTGCCAGGCGATGCCGTCAGACCCAGGACCTGCGGCAGGTCCTGCTGCCCGCCGAGCTTGCGCTGGAGGTAATTCACCATGATTTTGGTGTAGACGGCTCCCTTGTGCGTGTGGTGGCACCCATCGATGACCAGCAGCGAGAGCTCCGCGCCAGGCAAAGGCAGGGATCGGGGTGAGCGGAGCACCTGCACCCGCGACACCCGGCTCAGAGCCAGCCCGTGGGCCCCGTGGTGGCAGGGATGTGGGGGGGGAAGCAGGACCGGGGTGAGGGGGGCACCTTGTTGACCAGCACCGCCACCCTCCCGCCCCGTCGGCTCTCCAGGCGCCGCCGGCAGACGTAGACGGGCAGCCGTGGGCAGCCACACGATGCAGCTGCGGCCGTCGAGGGCCGGCGCCACCGCGTCCCGCTGGTACCCGCGGAGCCCCATGGGGCCGCCGATCGGAAGCGACCCTCGGGGCAGGGAACCCACCGGAACCCGCCCCACCGGAACCCGCGCTACCGGCACCGGGGCCGGGCTGAGCTGAACAGAAACCGAAACCGAGCGGAGCTCCCGGAGCCGCTCCCGGCCCCCCCCCAAGTCGCCTTCTCCATCCTGGGCTGGCCCCGTCGGGCTCCCCCCCCCCCCCCATCAGCCGCGGCTCTGGGCCTGCACAAGGACGTTTATTTAAAAAACCAAAAATCAAAACAAACCAAAAGTCACGGGGGGGGAGGAGGGGAAGGCGGGGACGGTCCCATCCCGGCGAGGGGCGGAGCAGCACCAGCACCCAGCCAGGGATGACAACGCAAGGGACAAGGCAGCAGGAGGGGAGCAAGCCGGGAGGGGGACGGACGGATGACAACTGGGGTTCCCCCCAGCCCAGCACCCAAAGAGGGGGACAGCAAGAGGGGATGGGAGCAGGAACTGACCCCCATGCCGGGGACACACACACACACACAGCAGACCCGGGCTGCCAGAACCCAACACGCCAGTGGGCAGCAGAAGCAGACAGGGAGGGCTGTGCAGGCAGGGAGGGGGCTGTAGACACTGCAGCTGAGCCCCTGTCTGGAGCAGAGGCAGGGAAAGAGCCGATAGAGGCAGCAGGAACTAAGGGGGGGGCCAAGGACAGAGCATCCCCTCACAGCACGACCCTGGACCACGAGCAGCATCTCTGCCTGCAGGCCAAGGCGGGCAGGGCTGAGCCCCACCATACATTCAACAAGACGGGCAGGGGCTGCCTGTGCGTGGACAGGACCAGAAACCCAAAGCACTTGTGTGCCCCTGCCCTGTGGAGGAGAGTCAGGGCAGCAGAAGGCACGACCCTGGGGAGGAGGGAAGCACCAGTGCCAGGAAGCAGGAGCTCAGCACTGCCCCTGCCAGAGCCTTTGAGAGGCAGCAGCTTGGGGATACAAGGCCCTGATGCCCCAAAGGAAGACCACTCACAGCACCAAAACCTCCAGCAGCCCCTGCCCGCAGCACAGGACTGGGTCCCCACAGGCAGCCCTGTCCCTCCCATGGGGAGCCGGTGCCCGGGGCGGGGGGGGGGTGTCGGGGCCAGCTCCCCTACTTGTCGATGAGCCCCCCTTCCTTGAGCTTGAAGTAGAAGAACTTCTCGAGGGTGTTGGCACACTTGCAGTAGTCGCTGTCGGGCGGGTTGTACTCGCGGCAGTTGGTGATGATGCGCTGCAGGTCGGCGATGAACAGCTTCTTAGTGACGTAGTAGCGGTTCTTCAGGCGCTCGGTCATGGTCTTCAGGTCTTGGGAGATGGGGAAGGGTCAGGGCACCCCCCAGCCATGGGGCCGGACACCAACCCCAAGTCCTGACTCACCCCCCCCCTCTGTTCTGGGCCTCCCACTGCCCCAGTGATGATGCTCCAGGGGGTCCAGCCCTCCCTCCACCATCCCACCCGGGGCTCTGGGCACAACCCCCTACCGATGGGGAAGCGGATGATCTCGTAGTAGTCCGGTGCCTCCGACTTCTTCACCGGCTCCATGAAGGGCCACGCGCTGGGGTGGGTCTGGAGATAGGGCAGAAGGAAAGGTACAGCAGTGAGTGCAGGCAGCTCCAGCACACGGGGGTCCTGCTCCCTGCAGGCCTGGTTCACCCCATCTGCCCCCTGGGGGCATGGCCCAGGGCAGCCTGGCTCTGGAGCACAGGGTGCCCTCCTGCCCGCACCTTGATCTGGGCCAGGAGGTTCTTCAGGGTGTTGTAGAGCTGGTCCGGATCCTTCAGCTCTTTCCTGCAGGACAAACCCAGTGCCCAGGGTGGGCGATCTCATTCCATCCCAGCATCCCCAGCTCCCCATCCCAGCGCAGGAGCGAGGAGCAGCCCGAGCCAAGCCCCCACAGCCCAGCACTCACCCCTTCTCCTTCCCCAGGGGTTTCCATCCTGTTTCTCCTGGAAGACAAAGTGTCAGCATCACCACATCCGCCCCACACCCGCAGGTGGGGCAGGATGGAGCCCTCCTGCCCCAGCCCTTCCCTCCCAGACACGGGCAGGACTCACGGATGCCGGGGACGCTCTCAATGGGGATCTGCCGCACGCCCTCCTTGAAGCAGGTCAGACCAGGGTAGACCTTGCGGATCTGCGCTTGCTTCCTCTCGATCAGCTTCTTGATGATCTGCGGGGGAAAGGGGGAGGTTCAAGGGATGGATGCCCAGGGCCAGCACCCCTCCCCTGCCCGCAGGACGTACCTCCTTCTGCTTCTTGATGATGTGCGAGAGCTCCGTGTAGGGGATGCGGGGATTCAGCTCGCACTCCATCAGGGTCGCTCCCTCGTAGTCCTTGATATAGCCCAGGTAGCGGCTCTTGGGGACCTTGATGTCCTTGGAAAAGCCCTAGGAGAGAACAGGCAAATGAGGGGGGATGTGGGAGGCAGGAGGGCTGGGGGAAGCCACCTCAGGGGGGGAGCTCACCTGCTTCTTGAAGTAGCCGATGGCATACTCGTCTGCGTAGGTGAGGAAGTAGAGGATGTTGTGCTTGATGTGGTACTCCTTCAGGTGGTTCATCAGGTGGGTCCCGTAGCCCTGGGGAAGAGAGAGGGACCCCCTCCATCAGATGGGACACACACAGCCCCCTCCCAGCCATGGACACAGGCCACTGAAGATGTCCCAGAGCAATTCCTGCTGCTTGGAACCAGACAGTGCTGAAGGGGTCCAGCTACCTGAGGGTCTGGAACACCCCTGGGCTGTAACAGTGACACCACCATGGGACCCACTGCCCCACAGGGCTGTGGGGGACCCCCATGTGTGCCCATCAAATGCCTCCCCACTCTCACCTTCACTTGCTCGTTGGACGTGACAGCACAGAAGACGATCTCCGTGAAGCCCTGGGTGGGGAACATGCGGAAGCAGATCCCGCCGATCACCCGTCCATCCTTGATCAGCGCCAGGGTCTTGTGCTTCCTGTGGGCAGCACGGCCGAGGGTGAGAGGGGACCCCCACTACCAGCCCCATCCCATACCCCCCCCCCCACCAGCCACGCACGGGTCAAAGACGAGGCGAGTGATGTACTCCTTGGGCATGCGGGGCAGCTGGTGCGAGAAGACGTTCTGCAGCCCCACCAGCCACATCAGGATCTTCTTGTTGGACTTCTGCGAGAGCGAGTTGCCGATGACGTGGAACTCGATGATGCCGCGGCGCTCCTCCAGCCGCGCCGTCTCGTCCCGCGCCGCATTCGCCGACAGCAGGCTGGTCTGGGAGGGGGGGGGTGTCACTGGCTCCACCACCCTCTCCATAGGGAGAGCCTGAACCCAGAGCCTGAGCCCCTCATCACCCCCCAGCCTGTACCTCAGGGCCCAGCATGGCAGCGGGGTCCGTGATGGTCAGCATGACCTCGTTCACCAGCTCCATGGGGATGTCGCCCATGACACGGATGCGCTTGGCATCTTCCAGCGTCAGGCTCTCGGGCAGCTTCCTCTTCTCCCCTGCAGCGCGGAGCAGAGGGCATGTCCAGCACGAGGAGGGACCGAGGAAGGTCCCTGCTTGCACTGGTCATACCTGGCAGGGGCTCCGGGGTGCTGGCGTCCATGCTCGCAGCAGAGCTGCTGTTGCTGAGCTTCTTGCTGAAGAGCGGAGCAGTGGGCACGGCCACGGTGCTGACGGCGGCTGGAAGAGACCAACGATGCCCATGCGTGCCATGGCTCCTCACACCCGGCCACCACCACATCCCCGTCCCTGTGTCCTACAGCCCCTTGAGCAGGGACAGCTGCTCCCCGATACCTGGGCGAGAAACCATCTGAGCCCCCTCGGCAGCCGGCACGGTGAAATCAGCCTCCCAGATGGGAGAGTTCTCGCCGTAGATCTCCTCCTCCAGCATGGACAGGAACCTGGCAGGGAGCAGCGCATCGCCCGCGCTCAGTGCGCGAGGAGGGGACCCTCCCCTGCCGCACCGCGGCCATCCCCGCATCGGGCGCCTACTTGGGGAAGTGGGTGAGGATCAGCGTCCGCTTCTCCGGCACCAGCTTGTCCTTCTCCACCCGGAACTTCTCCAGCAGCTGCCGGCGGGTGACCGTGAAGATGGACTTGAGGAGGCTGCGCCCGAAGACGTGCGTGGTCTCGTAGCGGGGAAGGCTGTCGCAGCTCTGCGGCACGTGGCAGTAGCACAGCCACCTAGGAGACAGGAAGAGGCTCCAGGATCGGGGCTGGGACCAGCATCCCCGGAGCCCCGCATCCCTCCTGGGACAACACTGCTGGAAGGGAAGCAGGGATGAGAAGAGCAGGAGCCTGATGTGGTCTGGCAGCAGGGTCCCACTGGATGCCTGCTCTCCGAATGGACCAACAACCCAGGAGAGGGGGGAGAGGCGACAATGCCAGGAGCCAGGGTTCAGGAGGAAGGAGGAGGAGGAGGCTCGGCCCCTCTCCCACCTTCACCTTGTGTAGTTGACCTTGTAGGTGGCCACATCGTCGTTCTGCGAGCGCTGCCGGAACTGGGATGGAGTCTCCAGCTTCCAGTAGTTGAGGCAGAGCAGGAACATCTTGGAGAGCTCGTACATGGTCTGCCGCTCCTTGGGCGGCAAGTGGCTGAACTTGTACTGCACGAAGTTCAGGACTCCCTGGGAGACGAAGGGGTGATGGAAGGGCACCGGGTGCTGCACCCGACCGTTTGTGCTGCCACCCAAAGAGGGAGCGGGCCGTGCAAGAGCAGCAAACCACAGGACCAGTGCCCAGTGCAAGGTGTGACCCTCACAGCAGCCTCACCTGCTCAATGTTTGGTTTCTCAAAGGGGGGGCTCCCCAGGGACCCCTCGACCACAGGCTGGCTCATCTGCAGGATGCACTTCCGCAGGAGCTGCGGGGACACCATGGGACACGGTGACTGAAGCCCCGGGAACGGGTCCACCTCCCATGGTGCCCATTTCTTCCCCAGAAACCTCTCCCCACAGAGGAATTCAAGGCCGGGAGCAGTCATTCCCAGCCCAGGGTCGGTATTCCAGGTCCTGGGGGGACACCCACAGCCAGACCCCAGCTCCCCGGCAATGCCAAGGGACCCCTGCCCAAGCGCCACCACGAGCAGTGCCCAGCCCCACACGTACCTTGAACAGGTAGAAATAGACCTGCTTGGTGTCCGTGTCCTCCTCCTTGTGCACTGACATGAAGAGGTTTTCCACATCCACCACCATGCCCAGCAGCCGGTTGATCTCCTCCTCCGAGACGTTCTCCAGGTGGGATACGTGGTCTGCTGTGGTGAGAGCGGGACGGGGGGGGTCAGCACTGCTCCCCCTGCACTGGGGGGTCCCCGGCACCCCAAGCTGGGGGGGGGGGGGTGGTCGTTACCCAGCGCATGGCTGCAGCTCCGGCATGGCTCGCTCAGGTTGGTCACCGGCTGCTGCAGGTCCATGCGGGGGGCGGTGGGAGGGTTGGGGTTCTTCCAGCCATTGCACTTGCAGGCGTCGTTGGCCTGGGATGAGGGACAAGGAGGAGGCGTCCCACAGCGGCCACACAACTCCCCCTGCAATGCTTCCTCCACCCACCCCTATTGATCCACCCCAGCATTCCTCAGCACCCACCCCGCAGGACCCAGCACCTGAACACCCTCTCCCAGCTGCCCCCTGTGCAGCCCAATATCCCACAGCACCTTCCCATGGATGCCCTGGCAGTTCCCTTACACAACTCAGCACCCTCCTCCTGCAGCCCCCACCCATGCATGGCCCAGCACCCTCCTCCTGCACCCCACGTGCATCCTTGCACCCTCCCTCCTGCATCCCCCTCCATGCATGGGCCAGCACCCTCCTCCTACACCCCATGTGCATCCTTGCACCCTCCCTCCTGTATCCCCTACCCATGCATGGCCCAGCACCCTCCTCCTACACCCCATGTGCATCCTTGCACCCTCCCTCCTGTATCCCCTACCCATGCATGGCCCAGCACCCTCCTCCTACACCCCATGCACATCCTTGCACCCTCCCTCCTGCACCCCCCACCCATGCATGGCCCAGCACCCTCCTCCTGCACCCCATGCACATCCTTGCACCCTCCCTCCTGCATCCCCCACCCATGCATGGCCCATCACCCTCCTCCTACACCCCATGCACATCCTTGCACCCTCCCTCCTGCATCCCCCACCTATGCACGGCCCAGCACCCATCCTGCATCCCTCCGCACATCCCCGCACCCTCCCTCCTGCATCCCCCACCCATGCATGGCCCATCACCCTCCTCCTGCACCCCATGCACATCCTTGCACCCTCCCTCCTGCATCCCCCACCTATGCACGGCCCAGCACCCCACCCTGCACCCCATGCGCATCCTTGCACCCTCCCTCCTGCATCCCCCACCCATGCATGGCCCAGCACCCTCCTCCTGCACCCCATGCGCATCCTTGCACCCTCCCTCCTGCCCCCCCCCCCATGCACATCCCCGCACCCATCCTGCATCCCTCCGCGCATCCCCTCGCCCCTGCCCCCCCCACGCCTCCCTCCGTTGCACCGCTCCCCGGTGCCGCTCCCCGCACCTTGCAGGCCGAGAACACCCCCAGCTTCTCCAGCTTCTTGCCGCGGGGGAACCCGCGCACCTGCGCCTTGCGCTGGCTCGCCCGCTGCTGCTGGCTCAGCCCGGGCCGCGCCGGGTCGCTGGACCCCGCCGCTCCTCCTCCTCCTCCTCCTCCTCCTCCCGCCGCCGCCGTCCCGCTCCCAGCCCCGCCGCTCCCCCCCCCCGCCGCCGCCGCCGCCGCCGCCGCCGCTCCCGGGCCCGGCGGGGGCCGCCCGGGCTGCGCGGCCTCCGGCTCCGCCATGCCGGGCCCGGCGTGCGCTCCGCGCTCACTGCGCCTGCGCGCCGGGCACGCCGGGATCCGTAGTCCGCCGCTGCGGGAGGTGGCGGAGGGAGGGGGGGGGGGGCAGCGGATCCGGTGCTCCCGGGACCCGTTCACGCCCCCCGCAGCCCCGGGCCGGGGCTGAGCCCCGCGGGCGCTCTGTGGGCAGCGGGACCCGGGCACGGAGGAGCGGGGTCCGGGCCCGGCGGGGACCAATCACCCCGAGAGCCCCTCCCGGGGCGAGGCCAGCGGGGCGGAGCCATCGCTACCCCGGGGGAGCCTCCCCTCCGGTAACCGGCACCGGGCCCGGGCCCGGTCCAGCGGAGCTCGGGGCTCACGGCGCGCTCCGCTGCCTCCGCCAAATATGGAGCGAGGCCCCGCCCCCTCAAGTCATATTTGGCATGATGCCCCGCCCCCTCGCCGTGGCGCGCCATGCAAACGCGGGGGGTGTGGCCGCAGCGCCTCGCCCCGCCTCCTTGGCCCGAAATGGAGCGCGACCCCTCCTCCGGGTGTACATATATGGAGTGGGACCGCCCCCGCCTGCCCATTTATGGCAGGCCACGCCCATATCGCTGCTAAGGGGCGTGGCTTGGCGGTGGGACGAGACGCGAAGGCGCCGGAGGGCCCTGGAAGGTGCCAGCAGCACCGGGGCACGGTGAAGGTGACCGGGAGCGCCGCGGAAGCGCCGCGAAGATGCGGGTCCGGTGCCCGGCGCTGTGCGTGGCCGCAGCCCCTCCATCGCCCTCCTCTGCCGAGGCACGGTGGCGAGGAGGCGCCAGCACCGTCTGATGCCCAGGCTGCCGTCAGGCTGCAGGGCAGAGCCGGGAGCGGTGCAAAGAACACAGAGAAGAGCACATAAAAGTCACGAATATTTATTAAATAGCTAAAAAAAACCCACACGGTTTGGGCAGAGCCGCCCCCCCCCCCCGGTCGCTGCCCTGCGGCCAGAGACTGCCCCGGCAGCCGGGCTCAGCCCGGCCCCATCCTCTCCCCATCACGCCTTGGCCCTCTCGTCCCCGTCGTCGGTGTTGGCTGTGGACTGCGCCACCGCCGGCCCCATCTGGATGGGCACGTTCCTCTCCGGGGCGGCCGGCAGCGCCAGCCGGGGGGCCTCGATGCGGAGCTGCCCCTCCTTGGACAGGGAGCACGTCAGCGCCTCGACGTCCACCTCCTCGGGCACGTCCCACTCCCGCTTCAGCACCTCGTACTTGTAGGAGAAGGAGCCCTTCTCGTCCGTGCTCTGCGTCTCCTTCTGCCCCACCAGCACCACCTTCCTGCCCACCACCTTCACCGACAGCTGCTCGGGGGTAAAGTCCTTCACGTCCTGGCAGACGGAGAAGCCCTCTCCGGAGCCCTGGGTCAGGGCTGCGCTGGTGCTGGGGGCTCGCTCCGCGGCGATGCCGATCCGGCTGGCGCTGCTCCCGCTGGTCAGGTACTGCTCGAAGCTGCTCATGAACTCCCGAGCCCTTTCCATCTCCAGCCGCAGCTCTCGCTCCAGCTCCGCGAAGAGGGTGCCTGGATGTGGCCAGAGGGTGCGGACGGGTCCCAGCCAGGGGAACAGCGTGCTGGAGGTGGGCGGCATGAAGTGCAAGCGGCAAAGCATCTCCGTGTGCTCCCGGTGTGTGCTCCCGGTGTGTGCTCCCGGTGTGTGCTCCCGGTGTGTGCTGCGGCTCTGCTCCGTGCAGGGGCTGTCGCGGTGCTGGGGTGCAGCCGGGAGCAGCGGGTTTTATCCTCCCCTGCCCGGGGGTGTGCCCCTTCCAGAACGCTCTCTCCCCACGCACCCTCCTGGAGCCATCGCCTATTTTTGAGAGGCTGATTATCCAGCAGCCGAAATAGCAGCGCCCGCTCCGAGGGACGAGTCACACGCCGCAAATAGGGAGCTGCGGTCACTGCGGGCAGCTCGGGTTTCTGCAGAGACACCGTGATACAGCAGCACCCCCGGGACCGGGGGGCGAGCAAAGCCCGGCCACGAGCCCCTGCAGAGGGGGGCTCAGCGGGGACAGTCCCGCCCCAAATCAACGCGTTCCTACATCACCCGCTGCTTCTCGCACGTTCCAGACCCCCCCCCCCCCCCAGGGCCGCCCCCGGTCCTGTCCCGGCCCTTCAGCACCCGCCCAGGGAGGGGCCCAGGACCCATTCCTGATCTCGCCTGGGGTCTCCCAAAGCACCTGAGGGTCCTGCAAAGGGGTGGGAGGGGGAAAGGGGGCTCCCCTGCCTGCAGACTGGGGGGAATCAGGGCACAGATGAGGGGGGAGAAGGCAGGGAGGAGAAGAGCCCGGCCCCGCACCCTGCCTGGGAAGCTGGAAAGGCCACGGATTTTTGGCAGGGGCGGCTCAGGCATCCCGTTTGGAGGCTGAGGTGATGCTGCTAATTATAAGGCAGGAGAGCAGAGCCGCAAGACTAAGGGCAAAGGTATGCTGGGCGCGACGTCAGCGCTGCCTCTCCTCGTGGATGAGTAAGAAGAATGAACTGGAACGGGCTGGAAAGAGCTGAGCTCTTCTGCCCAGGATGATGTGATGTTTCGGGGTGAGGCCACGCCCCCCGGGAAGGGAAATAAAAGCTGCGAGCGGCAGAGCCGGGGCAGAGCTTTCACAGCCCGCTGAAGAGGGGACAACAGCGACAGCAGCAGCAGCAGCAGCAGCAGCAGCAGCAATAATAACAGCAGCGATGCTTTGCCGAATGCATCTCGCACCATTCGCCTCCAGCGCCCTGGCCACCCAGCTGGGCACCGTGAGGACCCTCTGGCCCCACGCAGAGACCATCTTCACCGAGCTCCAGCAGGAGATGGAGAAAGCCCGGGAGTTCATGAGCAGCTTCGAGCAGCTCCTGAGCAGCCAAGGAGCCAACGCCTTGGAGCGAGCCCAGCGCACCAGCACTGCCCTGGCCCCGAGCTCCGGAGAGGGCTTCTCCATCTGCCAGGACGTGAAGAACTTCACCCCCGAGCAGCTGTCAGTGAAGATGGTGGGCAGGAAGGTGGTGCTGGTGGGGCAGAAGGAGACGCAGAACGTCGACGAGAAGGGCTCCTTCTCCTACAAGTACGAGGTGCTGAAGCGGGAGTGGGACGTGCCCGAGGAGGTGGACGTCGAGGCGCTGACGTGCTCCCTGTCCAAGGAGGGGCAGCTCCGCATCGAGGCCCCCCGGCTGGCGCTGCCGGCCGCCCCGGAGAGGAACGTGCCCATCCAGGTCAGCGCCGCAGCCCCGCAGCCCGGAGCAGCCGCCCAGGATGGAGCCGCCACCAAAGCCCAGGCGTAACGGGAGGGAGCCGACGGCCCACGGCAGGACCAGAGCGAGTGCCGGGCGTGAGCCCGGACAAGCTCCATCACTGATGTCAGTTTTCATTACACTGGAATGCTTTTGTATCCAATAAAAATACTTTTGCATGGAACGTGCTTGTGCTCTCTTGGTGTTGGGCGATGGGGAGGCTGGGTCCCGGTCTCAGTTCTTAGTGCCAGCGGAGCTGGGCAGACAGAGAGGGAAGAACCCCTCATGCTGCTTCATGGCAGCACAAAATGGGACTGACCTAAGGGAGGGAAGGGACCTGCGAACACCAGGCTGCTCGTGGTGGGGTTGGCAGGAATCCCCCAGGCAGAGAGAAGGGGACCCCGCTCCCCTGAACCAGAGCTCTCCTAGGAGCAGGCTCCTTCACTCCCTCTTCATGCTACTGCCAGCACCAGCTCTATAGCCCCTTGCTCCCTGGATGATGGCACTGAATGGGGACAGCCACATGGAGCAGCCTGGATGGGTATGGGGTCTCCCCACTATAGCAAGTTTCTCCTTACCCCCCCCCCCCCAGCTTGGAAAGGGGCTGCTGGAGCCGCTGCCGCAATCCCAGCATCAGGGAGGGCAAATCCCAAATCCAGGCGGTGCATAAACAGCCTGCTCAGGCCCGGGCAGGCAGCAGGTATGCACACACGCAGGCAGGCACGCCTGTTTGTGCTAAAGCCGCTCTGAGCTCACACAGCCCTTCCCTATGGCAGCGGAGCATCAAGCGAGGAGGCTCCGTGACCCCCTCCAGGTCCCCAGCGCACACTCAGGCAGCAGCCAGACCCCATCACAGAGATGGGAGACTCAGAAACGAAGCCCCAGCAACCAAGTAAAAGGAGCCAGCAGATGGCAACAGCACCGCACCAGGTGTCCATGGGACCGTTCCCGGTTGGGATTGGGGAAACTCTTCTCCAAGAGGCCCACCCATCTCTTGCTGCCTTGGGAAAGCAGCAGCACCAGTCCAAACCCTGCTGGAAGCAAGGACACCTCGGATGTGTCCCCCACAGGGGGCCCGAGTTCCTCTAACAGAGGAAGGAGCCTGTGCTCCAGGTATCAGGAATTCAGTGCCCGACTTCCTCCAGACCCTTCCTGCTTGCTTGAAGGAATCAAAGCAGGAGCCAAAGGCACCAAGCCCTTGGACAGAGCATGAAGCCCCCAGGAGCTGAGGCTGCTCGCAGCCAGCTTCATTCCCAGGTACCCCAGAGAGCTTCCAGAGGCCCCAGGGCTGGGCAGGCACTTGGGCTATAGCAGAGCTCCAGCTCCAGCCCATCCCAGCCTTCGCCCTCTGCCAAGCACAGCAGCAGCAGAGCTGCCAGGGGATGCGCTGTCTTCCACCCTGACTCCAGGTCTCCCTCATGGGGGTCCACGCAGCAATGACAGGAGAGCAGCATCTTCCAAGCTCTCATCCTAACACAGAGGTGGTCCCTGCTCAGCAGTACTCAAGCACAGCATCCCCAAGCCCCTCCACTTGGCAGCTGAGCTCCTCCCCATGCTGCTCCCCACCTCTTCCCAACTTGCACCATAGCTTCCCTATAGAAGTACCAGGCAATGAGTAATCCCCACTGTTTGCCTCCAGCACAGCACAGGCTCCTGCAGCCCCATGGTAAGGAGTTTGTGCTGCTCCGTGGAGCTGTGGCTGCAGGAATGGGGACAGCCCACTCCTCCCTGCCAGGAAGGCTTCCCTATGGGTGAGCAGGGTGTTGTACATCCACCCCCCAAAGCCCAAGCACAAGCGTTAGGTTCTGCTCCCCTCCTGTTTGAGCTGATTAAGAAACATGAACATTGGTGATTGGGATAAGGTTTATAAAAATCTTGTTTTAATCACACAAAACTGAAGTTTGTGATGAAGACTAAGTCGACAGTTCCTCTTAAATACCAGTGTGCATAAGACATTGCATTAGGCACTAGGCAGCAGCCAACATCAGTTAGAGTCTGGCAACAGAAGCCATTTTAATACCTCCCTTCATACTGTGTGGAATTACAGCCTTTCGCAATACATCGTTATCCGAGGCTTCCCCCACCCCACCTCTGTACAGCCGTCACCCCTGTGGATTCAGAGCAGGGTTAACAACATCAGTGGCATCACAACCATCAAAAAAAGGACAATTTTCTATACAAGATTTTCGTTTCTTTTGCAAAAGTTGCAACAGGATTAGTGCATTGTGACAGAACCGGAGATAGAAAAGAGGAGTTGGCATGCTGGAGTCCAACACAAAGAAAGACAACAGGCAGCTCGTTGGATGTACTATATTGACAAGATACTGATTGGTTACATGAAGAAACATACAATACAAAATACAGAAGAAACCAGTTTCGCTTCCCTCTGCCCCACCCCAGAATACTCATCATTGATTTGGTCAATAAGTGGCTGAAGAGCCAAGAGTTTGTCACTCTAATGCTACAGTTTAGTGGTTGTTCTAGGCGTATCATACCGGGATTAGCCTCAGCTTTTACATACAGGTGATCTGAAACAAGGCTGTCTAGTCTCAATATCCCTTTGTTTCCAATAGTGAACTACAGTACAGTGGGACCTGGGTGCCTCGGGGCCCCCCCCCTTGCTGGAGGGCTGGGCAGGCACCAGGTCGTGCATCCACCACCACCAGGAAGAGGGAAGAGCAGAAGTTCATATATTAAAAAAGTGACTTAAGACTTAGAATTGAATTAGTATTTGTACAGAAAGGTGCAGGTGGAAGAACTCCCTCCAGCCTATGATCAGAAAGGGATGGAGAAATCACAGCGGCCACGGGCAGCGGCCGCTCTACGGTTAAGTGCGATTGTTAGCGTGGATTCCAGTCACGTCATTCCAGGGCTCCGGCAGCGGGGCCGCCCGCTCAGTTGCTGCAGCACTGGCTCCTGCTGGGCTGACTGCTCTCCTGGAGGTCAACCACCCGGTTCCGGCCCGCGCCGCCCGCCGCCGTCTGGGGTTCGGTTTTTGGCAGTTTCTTGGCTGGAAGGAAAGCAGGCGTGAGGTGGCTCCGGTGCCGAGGCCAAACCCACCCCGCTCCACGCACACCCAGCTCGGCTCGGCCCCATCCTCTGCAGCAGCTTGGGACTGGGCACTGCCAGCAGCAGCAGGGTAGGAAACAAACCCATTCCAAGCGCTGGCTGCCCATCAACCCCACTCCTTCCCTGCTTAACACCCAGATACTGGGAGAGGGAAGAGGCTTTGGGCAAAGGCTCCAACCACTCAGGGATGTGATCGCTACAAGCTGGTCCTCTCCAGCCAGAGCCTCCTCCAACCCAGCAGGGACGGGAAGCCCCCATGGTGCCCACTGGGCTGCAGGGCTGGTGGCTCCGAGCTACCCCAGTCACCCTGCAGCACACGTGCTGTTACCTATTGCCATGAAGATTTCATTCACATTCATCGCTGTCTTCGCAGACGTCTCCATGAACAGCAAGCTGTTGTCATCTGCATACGTCTGTGCATCCTACAAACAACCACGTCGGAGTGGTAAAGGCACCCTGCCAACAGGAGGCCCAAGCAGGCTTCACACGCTTCACTTAGCTGGCAAACCAACCACTAAAGGAACTCTGTCCCACTCCATGCCGTTCCCCCCCCCACCCCAGCACCCTGATCCTGCCTGGGGAGACACACACAACCAGTGCTGCATGGCCAACATCCCAACAGCCTGGCTGGGGAACAGCAGAGCAGGCTGCTTATGAGCCCCCTGAGCCCAGGGTGCACACAGCCTGCCCTGAGCAGCACACCACCTTGTACTTTGGTTAGGTGGGGGAAATACAGCCTGTCAATGCACCACCAGCCAGCCTGTGCAGAGGTCTGAGATAAGAGCTTCTCCTTGAAGGTTTGCCTCAGACAAGGTAAGAGCTCCAAAGGGCAGAACAAGCTGGGAATGGTTCTTCACTTGTCTTGTACCTAAAAGATGCTGTTTCACACCCTGCTGAAGACAGCCCCGGATGAGTAAGGCAGCAGGAGAAACTGAAGACAGAAGCTTGTGCTCTGTGGGCCTTATTCTTATTCTACATTCAAACCATGACCAACAAGAGCTACAAGTACAAACTGTTACCAACAAGAGGAGCACACAGGAAAGGCAGGCTGCAGCTCGCTTTAGGTGGCATCCTGGGGTCCTGAGCAGCATTAAACCTCGACTTCCACTCTCCCTCAAAGCATTGTGGACATAGCCACCCTCTCCCCCACTTAAGCAAACAGCTGCTTCCCTGACTTGCTTGGGTAACAACTGATCTGGATTCCCACTCACCTGGAAGTCCACAGCTCTCTTGGTAGCAAGGTCTGCCTTGTTTCCTGCTAGTGCAATTACAATATTTGGGCTAGCCTGCCTCTGCAACTCTTTCACCCAGTTCTTGGCTCGTACAAATGTGTCCTGGAAGCAAACAGGAGGCAGCAGTAAGGAAGGGCAGCCTCTTATTAATCCACAGTGAAGATATGATTAGAACAAGTCTTTCCTGTAAGAAGTTTTCTGCCTCTACAGCACTTTGTAGCAGGATCCTTTATCAGCTTAGACAGCCTTGGTCACAAGTGAGGAAGAGGCCATGAGCAGTTGTCAGACACTCAGCACCTACAGGCAGGCATCTGCAGGGACTCTGAACCCAGCCACTCTCCAGGGAGCTGAGAAGCATCAGCTGCAAGCACAGCCACCTCCTGCCAGCAGAGACCCCCAGCCCTGCCCAGTACTCACTGTGTTAGTGATGTCGTAGACAACGATGGCTGCCTGGGCACCCCGGTAGTACATGGGTGCCAGGCTGTGGTACCGCTCCTGTCCTGCTGTATCCCAGATCTCAAACTTCACCGTTGTGTCATCCAAGCAGACTGTCTGTGTTAGGAAGGCAGCTGAAAGAGAAGGTCCATGTTTGCCTCAGCTCCTCCTGGAGAGCCCTGCAGCAGGAGCCAGGAGCTCGCAGCAGTTCTGCTTCGGCAGCAGGAGCCCCAGACAGGGGCCAGGGCAGAGCTGCTTGCTGTGAAGTCTCAGCTCTGCCGTATCACCCGCTCCTTGCACACAGGAGCCCAAGAGCCACCCCACAGCCGGCAGGAAGGTGGCCCCCAGAGCCTGGGCACCAGCCAGCCATGGGAGCAGCAGCGCTGCCAGTCGCTTGCCCAGCAGCCTCCTCACACATCACCCAGCGCAGCTGCATCACCACCAGGAT